ATTCTTGTGTTATGAGAAGGATTAAATAACACTTCCTTATTTACTTTCTCCACATCAGTCATGATTTTATAGACCTCAATCATATCCCCCTTAGTAGTCTCTCTTCCAAGCTGAAAAGTCCCAGTCTTATTAATCTCTCATCATATGGCAGCTGTTCCATCCCCTAATCATTTTTGTTGCCCTTTTCTGAACCTTTTCCAATTCCAATATATCTTTTTTGAGATGGCGTGACCACATCTGCACATAGTATTCAAGATGTGGGCGTACCATGGATTTATATAGAGGCAATATGATATTTTCTGTCTTTTTATCTATCCCTTTCTTAATGATTCCCAACATTCTGTTCACTTTTTTTACTGCCGCTGCACATTGATTGGATGTTTTTCGAAAACTATCCACAATGACTCCAAGATCTCTTTCTTGAGTGGTAACAGCTAATTTACACCCCATCATTTTATATGTATAGTTGGGATTATGTTTTCCAATGTGCATTACTTTGCATTTATCAACACTGAATTTCATCTGCCATTTTATTGCCCAGTCACCCAGTTTTGAGAGATCCTTTTGTAGCTCTTCGCAGTCTGCCTGGGACTTAACTATCTTGAGTAGACCAAGAACCATATGACACTCTTGCCCCAGAATGGCCCCTTATGGCCAAGGTTGAAGCCGGCTAGTGACCTTAGGGCCATGCAAATGTACACAGCCACTCTTCCTGACCCAGGTGCATATGGCTAATGCAGCACCCAGAGTGCTTATTTCCCAATAGCAGTTCTGTCTGATTCTGCAGTCAATGAGGCCAAATGATGTACCCATCTCTCTCCATGGAAAAGTTAACTTTATGCACAACCTTTTGGCTGTCTGGTCCATTCAGGGAATTAATTGAAGCAGTAAAGCTGCAGCCTAAAGGTTGGGATGATGGTGGCTGTGGAAACAGCATATAGACAAGAATTGGCCATTCTGGGTATGCAAAAGTGTGAGCACCTGGTCATAGGTAGGGAGGATCTAGCGAGGTCATTGCATGTATTACTAGTACTTCACATAGGACTCTGAAAAGAAACCTATGCAGGGGCGGCTCCAGGCACCAGCGCACCAAGCGCGTGCCTGGGGCGGCAAGCTGCGGGGGGCGGCCTGCCGGTCGCTGTGGGGGCGGCAGTCAGGGAGCCTTTGACGGCATGCCTGCGGGAGGTCCACCGATCCCGCGGCTTCAGTGGCGGGTACGCCAAAGCCGTGGGACCGGCAGACCTCCCGCAGGCATGCCGCCGAATCCATGTTACCAGCCGGACCTCCTGCAGGCGCGCCGCCGAAAGCTGCCTGACTGCCATGCTTGGGGCGGCAAAATACATAGAGCTGCCCCTGAACCTATGGGAACTCTGTTGAAGCACAGAAGTAGTTGGCAGTGTAGGGAAGTGCCTAACATGCTTTATCTGATTTGTGGTTAAATAGAGGACTTCAGTTCCCAGCGCTGTCAATTCAACATCTTTCATAAGTAAAAAAATTAATTTAAAATTTAGAAAAGAAATTAAATAATTGTGAGGTCTGAGGGATAATCTGTACCATGTTAAACAGTGACGTTTATGAGGGTTACTGCAATGTGAAAGGAATATAAATATCCTATAATATAGACTATATAAAATGTAGGTCAAAAGAAATAGCATACACCACAAGAGAAATGACAACACTGGATGCTATGACACATACTTCTAGGTACAGTACAAGCATCAATTCAATGACGGTATGCCAGCCCACATAGGGAGTAGAAAACAATAAAATCCACCAGGAAAATAGTGAGGATTCCATCAGGATACTACATCTGACCCTGCAACTTTTGTATTTTTTACTTCAATATTGTATAGTGCTTTAGAAGAAAAAAAGCAAGCCAACAAACAAAAACAACCAAAGTCTCAATGTACATTTAGGATAAGGCTATTTTTAAACAGAGTGTACAATTTTGCATGTGAAATTTTAAATTCTAAATCCTGATACTTTTGAAGAGAAAGATAGAGCACTTCATCCTGTACTACTGGTGGTGTCTCTGCTAAATGAGGAAGAAGAAATTAGCATTCTTATCTTCAAATCTAGCTTCCTTTTGGCATTCACAACTTTCTAATAGATACATAAACTGCTGATAGACTGAAAAGAAGGTATACAGTTTAAAGTATACAGTTATACTATGGTTCCTAAAGTTATATTATGCCATTATAAACACAGACAATGCTTTAGGGCCAGATTTTCAAAGATATTTAGGTGTCTAAAGATGCAGGTAGGAGCCTAGTGAGATTTTTCAAAGCTGCCTAACTCCCATTGGATGTATGCACCTAGGCACTTTTGAAAGTTCCAGGTGCCTAAGTCCCAAAGGGAGTTAGGCAGCTTTGAAAAATCCCACTAGGCTCCTATGTGTACTTTTAGGCACCTAAATATCTTTAAAAATCTGGCCCTTAGTTACTAATACAGATGAATAGCCTTTTGTCCAGAAGTAGGCACAGTTCACAAGAACACAAAACTGAATCTAAACAAAAGGTATTTGAAAAGACCGGCATGAGTGAAGGAGAAGTGCACCAATGATTGAATCTGCTTTAATGGAAGCTGGCATGAGCTATTGCACATTTTATCATTTTCTGTTATTTAAAGAGGTGATGACTGAGAGAACTGATGAATATTTTCTCACTTGTTTCAGAGACCAAGTTGTCCAGAAGAAATTTTATGTTTGCCAATTTTCATCATCTTTATTGGATGCTGCAGGACCATCAGCTGCTAAGCAGTACAAAAACCTTACTTTGTTTGACACCTAAACCTCTGACCCAACACAGTATCCATCCATCATTTCTCCTACAGCTAGTGTTAACAAAGCCCTTCAACAACAAATGCATGGTATAGCTTGTACAGACTGATAGTACATGTGGATTTAAATCCCACACAAATCTACTAAAGAATTCCAGAACTGCAAGCAAATCACTTTGAAAATAATCTGAATTTACAGCCATAATTCCCAAACTTAACATATATTTTAATCTCTATTAATTCTCCTAAAACAAGAAAGCACCTTCAACCTTGAAAATCTGAGTATTTTACCTTTTTTAAATTAAAAATATTTCAGACTGTAAACCTTCGAAAGCAACAGCTAAAATACTAATGCTTGTTATTGCAAAACAATCTATTGGGGCGAAAGAACAGCTCATGGTTGCTTTTAAAGCAATTAAACTTGCCAGCATGTTTTCAAAAAGTCTGTCACTCAAACACCAGTATGGAACGGAATTTGAATTTTGATGGGAATGTGCAGGTAGAAGAAAGTCTTGGGTTAAGTGTGTGTGGGTATTTATTCACTAATCTGATTAGCATCTTTCAAAGTATGAAGGTAAACTACTAGTGGACCTCCCGTGCAAAGTGACAGTCCATGAACAAGCCCAGCACACTGAGGAAATAACTGTCAATGTTCTCTATTTAATTAACCATCAGAAAGCAATATTGATCCAATAAAGCAGCCCCTGTGAGCAGTTGTGAATAGAAGCCAAACAGACAATTTCAATTTAGCCTGGAAAATCTGACGGATTTATCTTAAGCTGGTCAAAGGCAGATGATGCCACTGAGGTTAAAGCTAGAAGTAAACTGCATATTAAAGGTTCAAAATAAGACTTCAATCTACAAACTTGACTGAAAAATAGAAATATGCTTGAACTTTTCATGCTTTTCTATCAGCAAAGTCTTCACTCATATTTAACCCAGTGGTTCCCTGGCTTTTATTTATATGCAATAGACTGGTCTATGGGCTCCACGGAAGCCCCCACAACCCTTTATGGCATGGCAGCATCTCTGCTTTTTTCTATCCATTCTCTCTTTCCCCCCCTCAATCTCCTTGTTTCCATGCTTTTTTTTACCCCCTACATCTCCCTCCCCCTTCTGCTTTCTATTTTTATACGTTTGCTCTATGTTTTGCTGCCTTTTCCTGGTTGCCCCCTCCTGCCTGTTTCACCCTTCCCCCAGAAGTGGGGGTGTCCATCAGAAATCTGTAAGCCTGGACACATGCTCCTGAAGACGTACTCTTTTGTGGGAGCAGAGACAAAGCTTCAGTTGATGATGTGCTTCTTAAAACTGTAGTCCTGTATGCATGAGTTGTTCCTATAGCCATGTGCATTAGGAAACAGCATCAAGTGCAGGGAGGAAACGTAGTTTTTCAAGGAGATGCCAAAAGATTTAGTCATAGCAGCACTTTTGCAGTGGACATTCAGAGCGGATCTATGGTCATACAGCTTTCCCCACCCTTACTGCTCCTTTCTTCTTCCCTGCACCCCCCGTACCCAAATCTAGGCTTCTCTCTCCCCCACCCCCAGATTGCAGAATACTGCTCTAGCCATTCTTTAAGCTTTTAAAAGTTATGCTTAGTAGCACTGAGAGCAACAGCAGTAAGAAACAGGAAAAAGGACAGTTTATGAATTTTTCCCAGTGATGTATATTCAAATAATATTCCAAAATGTGCCTTCCTGTCACGCAACCTGGCTGAAACATCATATCTTTAAAATGGAGCTGCATGTAGTTTTAGTATATCTCCTACAGGCTCACTAGCTGTCTTGCAACTGTAAGAGAAAGCAAGGGCAAGTAGAAACTTCCCTGCTCATGCTCTCCCCCCCATCCCCAAGCTTGCTTCCCTATGAAAAGAAACATCTGAAAAGTGGGCTACAATGGTTATTCTTTAAAGAGCTCAGCATTAGCATCAGCCAGCTAAGTAAAATGGATTAGAAGGCTGGAGAATTCATCAACGTAAGCATCACACACTTGCACATTTCTGCAAGAGATTTATTTAGGTTATTTGTTTGTATGCATGAGAGCAGGTCATGCTAACCTGTCAGGGAGAGGATCTCACAAAAAATTATAAGTCCTTTACAAGTCATTTATAGCTCAGTGCTGAATCTCTGGTTTGTGGCACATGTGTATTCATGTAGTATTAAGACACCTGACCTATACTAATTGCTCACACAATTTCTTTCTCCCTGTGGTGAGTTACTCACGTGTAAACTTTTAGAACAAAATCTTTTTCTTCCTTTAGTTCAGAGATTGATTGAAGTACATCCATGATGCTCAATACTGCACAGCCATAGGGGCGACGATAATGTAGATGGGAGGGGCCCTTTTTGGAATCATTTAGCAGCATGCGACCTGAAACAGACAGCTTGGTTAGAAATTAAGATGCAGCTGCTCTCTCTGCTCCTATCTTTCTGTTGTCTCTATGTGAGTGTGTACACATACATACAGTACAAACTACAGTATAGAGCTTTCAACGTATTGTATAGGTATTCTAGACTTTCTATGTCCCTCTTTTCATATTTTTATATATATGAATTATGCTGTCAATTGTTACATAGAAACTTTTTAACTGGGACATTTCTGTAGACTATTATTTTGATTAAATTATTGTCCCATTAAGATAGATGATTTTTAAACAGCCTGAAAAAACTAGAAATAAAATATTGTACTTAACACAAATACAAGAAATATTTATCTGGCCTCTTCTCAATTAAAACACCAATATCTTAACACCTTGGCACTGGCTAAATGCATCCCCATCAAGCAGGTTTTTTGTCAACAGTGTGTCTCAAAAAACTGCCATAGCCATTTATGGTCATTGGGCACACAACAAAAAAGAGTTCCCTGTATTTATCCATCGGCAAATGATTTACAATTCTGAATGACCAGGTGCGCTGACATTAGGGTGGCCAGATGTCCCATTTTTAAATGGACAGTCCCGTTTTTGGGGACTTTTTCTTATATAGGCGCCTATTACTCCCACCCCCGTCCCGTTTTTTCACAGTTGCTATCTGGTAATCCTAGCTGACATCCCCTCCAAAAAGTGAGCTTTATCTCCCCCTTTCCTACGTCTTGTGTTCAAGGTTTAGAAGGCTACACGATAAAACTGATAATCTTCTCTTTCCAAATGGGTATTTACCCAAGTCTTATGTTCCAGATCAAGAAAAATCACTGTCTAGCAATTACTAAAATGTATTAACACTTATCTATAATGCCATGATTTGAACTTCTGTTTCAACAAAGAGGTAGGGTCTGTGATGGAGCTTTCTAACTGGTAAAATTCATCACAGTGTCAATTCAGTATAAGATAGGTTTTAAAAATACTTTTCATTTTGAGCTAATATAAAAAAAATTTAGTTAGCAAACCATACTGTACCTATTCGAATTACATGTGCAACTATGTACAAGTCTCTCTTCATATCCTTGCTGCTGAGATCCTAACAAATTGGAAAAAAATAAAAGTTAAAATAAATAATACAACACACTTTTGACCTTAAAGCAAGTCTGCAAAATTACTCGTACAAACATACCCCACAAATAATAATAAATAGTTTTATTTTTCACTTATTTAACTCCTTCCATCTTTAAATCTGTTTTACAAAGGTGGGAAGGTTATGGATGAAGAAAAATAAGGCACAGACAGATTATGTTTTGGCTAGCAGAGTTCTATAAAATAAAAAATAAAAATCAAATGTCTACCTTGGTGAGTGAAACTACGTTGAAATTCTGTCAACAGTCATTTACAAACATGTATTTAACCCTTTGATCCTAACACACCCTACTTGAGAGGAAATCTATGAGCTGCAGCACTACACAATATCAGGAAATTAGACACCTCTGCTGCACTGCTCCGCACTGTCTGCTGGCTACTTGCCATTTGCAGGGCATCTATGTGAAGTCCCATCCATGCATTCATGAGACATTATGTCTTGGTCCAAGACTCCTCCGCTGACACATCATTTGGGGCTGTAATTTTACATGTAGCCATACTCTGCATCCTCGCACTCTCCTCTCTTGTCAGACACCCAGAGTGGAATACACATAGGAACCAACACTTGAAGAAGAAAGGGAAGTTACTTACCTGGAGCTCTTCGAGACGTGTGGTCCCTATCTGTATTCCACTACCCACCCTCCTTCCCCCTGTTTCAGATAATGACTGGATTCATGGTAGAGAAGGAACTGGAGCAGTGGTCAGTCCACCCTGCCCCTTATACTCTTGGTGCAAAGCATGAGGATGGCAGGGGCGCAGGAGGGGATCAACGGACACCGCTTGCAAGAATTCTCTCTCTTTCAGTCACATGGAGCATATGCATACCCACAATGGAATACACACAGGGACCAGCACTCAAAGAAGAAGAGAACAGTGTCTAAGAGTCATTTAAATAGTTGTCATTCATGGAATATTTAGAAAATTATGAAGTTTTGGTTCTGTTACTATATTAAATATAAAAAAGGCATAGTAATACTAAAAGGAGAAATAGATACCTACAAACAGAGATTCTAAATGAAGTTGCAACTTAACTCATCCTTATTGTTCCTAGTAAGAGGAAACAGTTGTCTCACTTCATTTGATGACCCAAGATGGAAAAAACCCATGCATTTTACAATCACTAGACTTAATCAGATGAGAATAGGATGTTGTAGCAGCCTCAGTTCCAAATCTAAAAGCTATGAGAGCTTATGTCTGACCCTTAATGTTATTTTAATATAATAGCTGTGGATTCAAATTTTTCATGTTTTCTTTCCCTTCAATTAAACTATGACCTCCATCCTAGTGATGGTGGCATACTCCGAAATATTTGAGTGAGAGAATGTTACAGCATTATTAGGTTTGCTTATACAATAACGAGGCTTGTTCTACTACTAAGGGTACGTCTATACTTACCCGCTGGTTCGGCAGCAAGCAATCAATCTTCTGGGATCGATTTATCGCGTCTTGTCTAGACGCGATAAATCGATCCCGGAAGTGCTCGCCGTCAACGCCGGTAATCCTGCTCTGTGAGAGGAGTAGGCGGAGTCGACGGGGGAGCCTGCCTGCCGCGTGTGGACCTGCGGTAAGTACCTTTAAGTTCGAACTAAGATACTTCGACTTCAGCTACGTTATTCACGTAGCTGAAGTTGGGTATCTTAGTTCGAACTGGGGGCTTAGTGTGGACGAGCCCTAAGTTTTGTAAAATATAAAAAGCTCAACTTTGTTTCTCAGTAGCAAATTTTCAAAATGAAATCACTCATAAGTCAAATGACACTAAAGCCATTGTGGAAAGCAAAGAAAACGATTTTTAGTACAGGTAAAGTTGGAGAAATTCTGGTTTTGCAATTCTATAACTTAAAATCAATTTAGAGAATTAAAAAAGGTGGGGGTTTTTTGTTGAAAAGAAAATATGAATCCTACCTGTCACCTTGCATGGCAGATTTCTGTCCTATGTGATTTGAGAGAGGAAATCTCAAAAATTGAGGTTTCTGATAGCAATGCAGACAGACAGTGAAATATAGAAGTACAGCTAAAATAAATGCATATGGACAGTTACACTTCTAACTACAGCAAAGATCATATTTTATAAGCAAAGTTCTAAGAGAAAAATTCTGTCCCTTACATATGTGGCCATGCATGCTAAGTGGGGGGAGAGAGGGGAGGGGAAGATATCAACCAGAGCTGTGTTTCCAGCATTAGAGCCATACTGCTAGCACAGTGCAGGACGGTTGAAGGGGAGCTATAAACTGATGGGGATATCTCGCTACTTACTCCTTTGAAAAGAAATAGTGTATTTCCCTGGCTAGTGCATGCTGCTTATTGTAAATATGCTGGAGACTGGCCATGTCTATTACTTTAAAGGCCAGAAGGGACCATCACGATCTAGTTTGACCTCCTAAACATTGTAGGCCACAAAACCTTACCCACCCACTTCTGTAATAGGCCCAAAACATCTGGCTGAGTTACTGAAGTCCCCAAATCTTGATTTAAAGACTTCAAATTATAGACAATCTATCGTTTACTCTGGTTTAAACCAGCAAGTGACTGATGCCTCCAGGTGCAGAGGAAGGCGAAACCCCGCAAGGGACTCTGCCAATCTGACCTGGGGAAAAATTCCTTCCCAACTCCAAATATGGTAATCGGTTATGCCCTGAGCATGTGGGTGAGACCCACCAGCCAGATACCTGGGAAAAAATTCTCTGTAGTAACTCAGAGCCCTCCCCAGCTGGTCTACCATCTTCGGCCAATGAAGATATTTGCTAAAGGCAATGGAGGTTGGGCCATATGCCATTGTAGGCAATCATACCTTCCCCTCCATAAACGTATCAATCTCAGTCTTAAAACAAATTAGGTTTTTTGTCCCCGCTACTTCCCTTGGAAGGCTGTCACTCCTCTGATAGTTAGAAATCTTTGTCTAATTCCAAGCCTAAATTTATTGATGGCTAATTTATATCCATTTGTTTGGAGTTGCCTTTTTTTTTTTTGTGCCAACATTGACCTTTATCTTAAATAACTCATCTCCCTCCCTGGCATTTATCCCTCCGATGTATTTGTAAAGAGCAATCATATATCCATTCAGCCTTCATTTTGTTACGCTAAACAAGCCAAGCTCCTTAAGTCTCCTCTCATAAGGTAGATTCTCCATTCCTCTGATCACCCTAGTAGCCCTTCTCTGCATCTGTTCCAATTTGAATTCATCTTTCAAACATGGGAGATCAGAATTGCACACAGTATTCCAGATGAGGTCTCACCAGTGCCTTGTATCATGGTAATAACACTTCTCTATCTCTACTGGAAATACCCCACCCGATGCATCCTAGGACTGCATTAGCCATTTTTTCATGGCCACATAACATTGGCAGCTCATAGTCACCCCATGATCAACCAATACACCCAGGTCTTTCTTCTCCTCTCTCATTTCCAACTGATATGTCCCCATAACAAAAATTCTTGTTGTTAGTCCCTAAATTCATAACCTTGCACTTTGCACTACTAAATTTCATCCCATTTCTATTACTCCAGTTTTCAAAGTGGTCCAAATCTTCTTGTATGGTATTCTGTTCCTCCTTTGTATTGGCAGTACTTTCCAACTTTGTGTCATCTGCAAATTTTATTAGCACACTCTCACTTTTTGTGCAAACATCAGTAATGAAAATGACTGATCTCTGAGGAACTCCACTAGTAATCTCCCTCCAGGCTGACAGTTCAATTTTCAGATTGATCCACTGTATCCTTTAACCAGTTCCTTATCTCCCCTTTAACCAGTTCTTTACCCATCTTTTGATTCTCATATTAATCCCAATCTTCTCCAATAGAACTAATAATTTCCCACATGGAACTGTATCAAATGCTTTACTGAAATCCAGATAGATTAGATCTAGTGCATTTGCTTTGTCTAGAAAATCAGTTATCTCCTCAAAGAAAGAGATAAGGTTGGTATGATACGATCTACCTTTTGTAAAACCATATTGTGTTTTATCCCAATCACCGTTTACCTCTATGTTCTTAACTATTCTCTCTTTCAAAATTTATTATCAAACCTTACATACAATTGAGGTCAAACTAATGGGCCTGCAGTTTCCTGGATCACTTTTTCTCCCCTTTCTTAAATATAGGTACTATATTTGCAATTCTCTAGTCACAGGATATGATCCCTGAGTTTGCAGATTCATTAAAAAGCCTTGCTATTGGGCTTGCAAATTTTATGTGCCAGTTCCTTTAATATTCTCAGATGGAGATTATTTGGGTGCCCTGATTTGGTCCCATCAAGGTGTTTGAGTTTAGCTTCTACCTCAGATATGGTAATTTCTACTTCCATATCTTGAAGTGTTTTCCCTAGCTGGGTGTAGTCTTCCTTGATGCATTCCCGAGAGAATCTAGCAGCATAGTTTGTTCCCAAGTGAAGGACAATTGGTGAATTCTTTCCTGATCTCATTAGGATCCTCTTCAGCTTTAGGTCCACATCCCGTATCTTAGCTCCTGGCAGGCAGTACACCTTTTTGTTCTCTGGATCAGCTCTGGTGACAAGCCTGTCTGTTCTTAATAGGGAGTCCCCAGTCACGTAGACCTACTTCTTCCTGGTGTTGGTGTGATCCTCTGTCCGTCCCCCTTCTGTTTTTTAATGGCTGCAAGTCTTCTTATCTTCTGTTCATTCCCTATCCTCCTAGGGCTCCAAACTCTGGCTATTTTCACTGTTTCTTCCCCACTTCTTATAGGGAACCAGCAATTCTTCTCTTCTTCCTTGCTCTTCTATCTTCTGTTACTGCCTGCCTCCTCCCTTCATTTTCCAACTCACTGAACCTGTTCCTCACCTCTATTTCTCCTTTGGTAGTCAGTCCTTTCCGCTGCTTTGTTCTCATAGCCACAGGCTTCCACTGGCCACTCTCCTCATTCAACAGTCTACCCTCACAGTTCTCTGGTCCATCATGTATCCACAAGTGTTTATGTTTCCCTTTAGCCTCCTTT